AAAAAAAAAAAAAGACTGAAACTTGGAAAAACAAGGCAAAAATATTAAACTTTTTAACAGTAATATCCTTTTTCTAAATCTTCTTTAACTATTTGTACTCTTCATCATTCTCATCATAATTATCATCATCATCAGCTTCCAATTCCATATGGTTTATCCTCTTCTTCACCAGCATTCTAAGACTATTTTTTTTTTCAAAATTTATACATTTCTATTGAGAAAAATTTATTCATTGATCATTTGAGATTTCCATCATTCTGTAGGCTAAGACATGGTGGTGACTGGTGTCCAACGTTGTTCTGTTGTGCATTCAATGCAGCTTGCATTTTTTTTAACTGTACAACCAAACTGCGATTACTCTGTTCCAGCTGTTTTATCTGTAACAGTGGTAGTCAAAAGTAAAATGGAGAAAAAGTAAAAAAAGAAAGAATTTTTTCAGAAATTTACCACTAAACTACTCTGAAATTTATCTCTCAAAAATAGATAGGCATAACTGATTTTTCTTTCAGTCAACAATTGTTATATTTACAGAGTAGCTGAAAAAAAAGAAGAAAAAACATTTATTGAAAAAAATCAAAAAAGAACGATTTAATTTTTTTTCAAAATTTTACTGACTGTAACTAAATGTTATTTGTAGTGTTGCTTTGATAAGAGAGCGAAAAAAATATCTATTAAATGAATTAAAGCTGTGTAAGCCAACTTTTTAACTGTTATATTACTGATACCAAAGTTGAATTGATACATTTGGTATATTAAATGCAAAAATTAGAAATATCTGATTTTTTTCTGTATTATACAATGTAAATAATGCTATTTTTTGATACATTTAAAAATAACAATAAAATTTTGCCGTTTTAAAATACTTTCTTTTTTTGTTTTTTGATTTTGGTACCGCAAACAAAAATCTGATTATGATCTCTTCTCTCAACATTAAAAACTGACCTTAGCTTTTAAGGACGAATTTTCGCTGAAATACATTTGTACTCGTTGTTCTAAGGTATCCATATATTCTTTTCGTTTTCGACGACTTTCTTGTGCTGATAACTGTAAACAAGAAAGTATTTAGCACAAATATATACACCGATACAGTATGTTAAAAACAATTTTTTAAAATTATATTGTGCAGCCAATAAACCAATGAAGTGCAATCATAATTGTCACTATTTCTGTGGAAAACAGAAGGCAAAAGACGAAAAAAAAATGCCGATATTACTTTATTTTTGATCTTTCGTCGAACAATTTTTAATGCATCCTCTTCAGATTTGGACAGTGGAAGTCGTGTCGGAAGGCTATACCCTTCTTGAAGCAGTGTACGTTTCTCTTCTGCTGAAAGATGAATGAAACCGTTGCCGCGAGGATCCTAAAATTCAGAAAACATAAGTATTGATAAATCAGCCTAAACCAAAATTGAACTTCAAAGGAAAAAGATACATAAATAAATAAATAAGTACCAAAATACATACTTGGTCAGTGATTAGCCGCTGTTTTACAGCCATTTCATGCATTTTACTTCTGGCTTTACATGGCAAAATTTGTGTCAGTGGTTCTAACGATGACGAGCAGTCCGAAGACGGCGGTGAAGGTGATTCAAACCCTACAAAAAGAAAAAAAAACAAAATATTTTAGAAAAAAAAAGGAAATATATATATATGCAAAAAAAAAAAGTACAACAACAAAATATTCTATATCAAAAATTTGTTGCGACTAACTTTTAAACAAAGTTCTCAAACAAATTTTCCTACTTTTTCTTCTTTTTTTTTTTTTTCGTCCACTTCTTCACTACTACTTTCGTTCTTTTTTAATTAATGTACTTAACGTACTTTCATTGGAATATTTTGTGGTTGAGTAGTTGTTAACTGTACACTGATTAGTGTTATTATGTGAAAATTGGGATACTGGAGGTAAAGCATCAATAAATTTAACTGGTTCCGATAGTGGCTGATTAACATCGGCTGGCGGTGATAGACCTTCTTCAACATTCAGACGTACATTGTAGACATCTGTAAAGTAATCAAAAAGTTTCTACAAATAAAATACAATTCATTTAGATGCATTAACTGAGGTGCAACAAAGGAAAAAAAAAAAGAAAAAAGTTAGACTGGCAAAATAAAGACACTAAATTAACATTAGACACCAATTGACTGGTCAATCTATTGTATAATTTTTGCTGTATAGGATACTACGATTTTGACACGCGCTATCGTAGCTAATCATACACTATTTTGATCAGTTTCTTCTAGCACAAAAAATATGCAATAAACTTTTTTAGCCCTATAATTTTGATTTACTAGAATTGCTGCAAAAAAAAAAAAAAAAAGAAAGAAACAAGAAAAAAGCTATTAAAATAAACTACCATCATTAGATGTTGGATAAGTTTTTTCGATGCCTATATTGCGAGTCTCTTGTTCTGCTGGTGGCGATAATGTCGAGCTGCATGGCGAACATTGAGATTGTGAAAATGTATTATAACCTGCAATGTGAAAAAAAAAAAATTCTGGAAAGTTAAAGTGTATCTTAATTAAAAAAAAAAAAGTTTTGTATATAAAAATGTCAAATACTTTCTTTTCATTGATTTTACAAAAATTTTGTTTTCTTTCTGCTTTTTTTTTGCACAGTAATTTATGCAAATAAATG